ACTAATCCCATTCCTGAAGGTGCACAGAGCTCAAATTTCCACTCCCTTGGAATATTTCTCCTGTCTCTTCTTGGTTAGAAGCTGTGATTTGACTCAGTTTGAAGAGCATGGGCTCTATACTTTGGGAACAGAGCAGCAGTTATGGGACCATGCTAAATATTCACTCAAGAGCAGAGCATTTGGGTTTTTTTCCAGTTTTAAGTGCTGATATTCCACATAAACACGCTGGAATTGTGTGAGTGGCTGTATGTGTGTGTGTATRTTTACCAGTCCCAGGTGAATGCCCTTCTCCCTTGTAGGTGACAAAAGGAAAAATAGAGAAAATGGCTATAAACACTAAAGGAATCAATTTCCTTCTTTCCTTCCCTGAAATCTCAGGAAATCTGCTCAGAGGACAACACCACAAACATATTTTACTCCCTTATTTCCATTTATGACACGTTCAGGCACTGCTGTAGGGCATGAAGTCTGATTTCTCTCTCCAACCAGAATAATTTTGTCACCAGTTCCTGGGGCTGGGAAGGGTGAAAAAACCACAGATTTCCTCAGGTGCCACTGGGCAGAGTCACTTCACGATTTTTATTTGTTGACAGCTTTTATAAAACGAAATTCCCCTTGGATCAGACACCTCGTGAAACATTTATTTAGAGTCTCGTGCATGCTCGGGGTACATCAGGTTCCAGTAGAGCAGAATCTGCAGGAGCAGACAGCAGAGCTGCCAGGCAGAATTCCTACTGCAATTCTGGAAAATTCCAGGCAGAATTTTCTACTGAAGGGGAGGGAAACTCACAAAATTAAGGCACTGTCAAACCCCAAGCCCACAGATCATCTGACCTTTCCTCCTGGCTTTCCTCTGCTTGTCCACGAGGACAGCTCTTTATCTTTAATTAACCATCAATTACAATTTTGAACAGGGACACACACACACAAACCCCCTCGCTTTTCTTAAATCCTGTTTCTATTCCCAGCTGGAATGGAAACAACAGCAAAGGGATGGAAAATGCTGCTGAGGGAGCCCAGTGCTGCATCCCTCCACGTACCATGGTCACTGGGGTGATCCCAGCCCTTGGGTGATGCTGTTTTTAATCATAAAATCAGTTCTAGGAACAGCTTTGACCTACTCTAAAAGCCAGTGTTCACTAAGCAGAGCACCAGTGAGCTGGCAGAGCCCTCCTGAGCCATCAAGGCAGCTCAGGTTCCTCACTCACCGGGCACAAGCTGCACTCACAGCCCAGCAGTGTGGCCCGAGGGGCCCTACAGAAGGTAATCAGTATTTTCAGTGGTTTATTAGTCCTTTAAAGTGGTTTTTCATCAGCTGGTGTGAAATACACTGCTTCAGCCTTTCTATCTTAATTTAAGAATATAGGAAAGGGTGTTTTCTACACCCAGGGAGTGTTCAGCACACCAGGATCACTGCAGGCCCAAACCAGGGCCAGGGCCAGAATTACAAATTGCAATGTTAAATAAAAAAGCCAGATTGGGGTTCATGGCTTAGGTGCCTTGGCAATTATAAATAAATAATAATAAATACTTACACTCAMACACACTCTGCTTGTATCCCACGGGGTTACAAACAAACCAGAGCCATGCTTCTCCCCTGGTTCAGTAGGATCAGCTTTGGGGTGGGACACACTAACAACGTGCAGCAATGCCACACAGAGTCTGGGATGGTGACAGTGCCAGAATATGGCACTGGGAGCACTTCACAGCTTCAGAGCTCTTGCAAACACTGACTTGGTTAAGCAAAGAACAACGTCCTGTTAGAATGAGAGGGAGCTGAGGGGAGGGGAAAAGGGTTGGGCTGGGCCAAAGGCCATGTCCTTATTGCATATAGAATGTCACATTATTTGGAGATATGGCAGGTGTGTGAGCTGGGAAAAATCAGATCAGGCTCATTGAATTTCCTTGAATGTGAAACCTGATTTCCACATTGATTGTGTCTCAACAGTTTGCTGTTTTGGCAGACACCAAAAAGGTCAGTGAAAACTCAAAAGGAACTTCAAAAGATTTGCRGGAGCACAAACCATTGCCCTCACTCATAAATAAACACAGTGGAAGATTTGACATCAATTGAAAATGCTGCATCAGGTTTGCTGACAGCTGGGGAACGGGCAGCCACTTACCACCCTGGCACAAACCTACAAATCCCTGAAAATCTGATCAGAATAGAGAGGCAGAGACCGAGAAGCAAGCAGCAACACAGAGAGCAAAAACGAAATTCAGGGACCCGCCTGGCAGTGTCCTGGCTTCCACCTCTCCTCTGGAGRCTGAGAGAGAAGGACTGGAGCATAAAGGAGGTCACAGGTGGCTTTGAGACTCAGCTCTGGAAGATTCTTGGCCTATTTTCTGCGCCGATGCTTTTTTTATTCGGCTTTTTTCGCCTTCCGTTTCCTCGTGCCTTCGTTCAGCTCCTCTTTGGACTTGGCAGGAGGAGGAGGAGGAGGAGGGTGGGAAACCTCRTGGGAGGCCCCGTGGTGGTCGTGGTGGTGGCTCTGGTGCCCACTGGCCACGGAGCCAAAGAGCACTGGGCASACGAGGTTTTCCAGTGGAGCAAAAGGTGAGGCGTGGGAGTGAGTGGCCGTCATGAAAACCTGCCAGGCAACAGGGAGCACTCAGAGATCACACAGAGCAAGGAAAAGATCACACAGACCCCAGGAAAAGTCCCTGCTGCTACATGACTCAAGGCTCAAAGGTGGGAGAATTCCGTGGAGAACAATGGAAATGCAGAATGATGGAGAATTCAGCCCTGAATTTCCTGAGCAGAYCCTACAGTCAGGGAATTCTGCAGCGGCTCAGGAAGGTGAACACCCCCAGTTTGGGTCTGCACCCGTTCTCTGCTGTAAACTCACCTTGCAAACTATCATGAACATGGTGAAAAAGAAGATGAGGTTGGCTTCAGAGATGGGGAGCCAGTGAGTCTGCTGTAGGGTGAAGAGGACTGTGCCATACAGACTGGCCTTTGTGGGGCTGCAAGAGAAAAAAAAAAAGAGTTTTTCTGGAAGGTTTGCACCCAGCCCTGACTAGTCCTTTACATTTCATTCATGGCCTGAGTGGGAATTTCCGGGCTGAGGACTTACAAGGACATATGTAGAATTTCATTGGTTTCTGGCTTCCAGACCCCACGCAGCAGCTGCTCRAAGTTGGACAGTAGGGCCACACCAGAACCTGTGAGACACAGAAACCTGTCAGAGAGCTGGAACTGCCACAGCAGAGAGCTCTGGACCCCCAAGGGAGAACAGGAAAAGAATTGGGGGGAAAGGGAGACAGAGAGTTCTTGACATTCTCCCCAGATTTAAAAGTGAGCCTAAAACAACAGAGCAGGACAAACGCTTCCTGACTTTCTACCAAGCAGTTCCTGATGCAGGGAAAGCGCTTTTGATGCTCTTGATGCACAAGTGCTCGTTCCAAACACAAACTAAAGGAAAACTGGACTGTTCCAACCCTGACAGAACCCTCTGAAAAACCACAGAGAGTGAGGTCAGAGACAGGAGAAAGAATAAAGAATTCCTGCCTCCAGCTCTTCAAGCATTCTGCACCAACACCCGCGTGGTGGGAAACAGCGACCTGCCCCATATCCCCTTCCCTGCCCCATATCCCCTCCCTGCTGTTTCTCCCAGACCATCCCAGCCCCTCCTGCAGCCTCTGGAGCATCTCAGGTGTCACCTTTGACCCATCCCGTGGCCATCATGATGAACCAGCCRTGGTGGTAGAGGTGGTGGGCGTGGTGCACGCCCGCGGCGATCTTGCGCACTCGCACCACCTCCTTCATGGCCACRAAGATGAGCTTCACAGGCAGGAAGCTGACACACTTGTAGAAGAGGTTCATGGGGCAGAAGAATATCAAGTACCTGGAAAAAGAGGATAGGTTTGCTCTGGGCTGGGATGTGCAGAGAGGGGTGGTGTGGTAGACTGAGTTATGGCAGGTGGCGGTGAAAGAAAAGAGAAAATAAAACCAAAAAAAACCAAAAAACCACAAAAAGCCACAAAAAAAATAAGAAAAAACACCCCCAAACACCCAAAACCAACAACAAACCCAAACAAACACACAAACAAAAAAAAAATCTTAATTTCATAGTTAATTCTAAAGGGAAACCAGCATGCAACAAAGTTTCTCTACAGCAACAACTCAGAGAGCCCTCACTACTAACACTCCATCTTGAATAACACCCAATCATTTTAATTCAGAATTTTTTGGAAGTTTCTGTCTTGTATGGTCCAGAAGCATCTGCTCATACTGAAGAAGCTATATATGATATTACAGAGGACAGATTTCAAATACTMCTTTGTMCAGAAAGCTGCCATGYTTTTMAGCCTTGAAAGARTATMTTTATTTTCTCAAGTATAGAAAACYAGGTAGCTGAGGGATTTACTCTRAAAAATAATGAAAATTTCATTCCAAATCTTTCCCTACAATGCTCATTCTGCCATGTTAAAGCACCTAAACCAACAACACACCGAGGAAGTTAAAGGTTAATTTGGCACATTTTGCCATTATCATGAATAAACTGCCCCCAAATGTTCAGGATGTGCCACTCCTGTCCCTCTCAGTGTGGGATCAGTGGGTGCTGCTGCTCCTGTGGTTTGGCCCTGGCTCAGCAGTGGCTGCTATGAATAGCAGTGCTCCAGCCCAGATAATCACAGCATTAGGCAACCGGTCAGAAAAACTGGCAACCARAGCCAGGAATGCAAAAGCCTCCAAGACAACCTCAGCCCACCTCTGCTCCCCTCACTAATCCAAGCAGGATCAGAGCTATGTCACAACTCCCTGGCACATCAGGAGGGCTGCAGGGCACTCACCACACCGCCGTGGCCAGGATGACACTGGAGTTGTGGCTGAAGTGGCCGATGGGTGCCTCTCCCAGCAGCAGATCAGCCAGGATGTAGCTCCCAAAGCAGTGCAGCATGGCACAGAGCCACGAGGCAAAAGGGCTCTTGCGGGACATCTCCACGGCTCCTGTGAAGCAAATTGGGAATCACAGAGTCACCAGTGTGGGAAGGGACACTTGAGGCCATCAAGTCCAGCCTCAGAGAGAAAATGGATTTATAAATTAAACAGAAACTTCAAGACCCGCTAAGAAAGACATGAGGCAAGTGTCCTACAAGTAACGCAAAGGAAAACATTTGTAAACCAAAACACCAAAGTGTGGAGCCCAAACAAGCACCARAGATGGTCAAGAAAGGATCACAGCCTGCAGACCCACCCAGAAGGTTTCATGTGAACAGAGCCATCAGAAGTTTATGAACTGGCTGAGAGTTTCTCTCCTTTATTTGCTGCTATCAGAAAGAACAGGTTTTTTTTCCTTGAAATCAAAGGTTTTTTTACAGTCTAAAAATAAAATGCATACTGGTACCATTCTCTCCACTGCTTCAACCTAGGTGCCCTCTAGAATTCATGAACAATCTGTTCAGCTCTTTCATTCATAAGATAACCTGTAAAAATAGAACAGGAATTCTTAATCTTTATTTGAGAGAAGAGGATTTGAGGGCTCTTCCCCACTCCTGTACTAGACTGGAAATACTTGGTGGTCTCCTCCCACAACCTGCTATAGTGTTTTTTTTTAAATTTCTGTAGCTAATTTAATATACCTTTGTACTTTTTTATTGAAACTTCCCAATAACACCAAGTCTGTGAGATTCTTTCATCACCTTAAACTGCTCCAGAATCCTTTGTGCAGCGTTTCAGATACAAAACTCTGTTCAGTGAGCAGCCAAAGTGAGAAAATGYTAAAAATATCATGTCAACATGATTACCTGGTCCACCTTATCCAGCAATAAGGGAACCAGCAGGAGCCAAAGCCCTGAGTRCCCAGGCTCTTCCACCCTCGGGGACATTTGAACCAGCTGAAAACACAGCGGCAGCAGGACAGCTGCAACAGCCGAGACACGAAACTGGTTCTATAGGAGTCTGAGGTTTAGCTGGAGGCTTAAATTTAGCAACACTTGTTTTTCCTTGGCTCCAGCAAGCCATGCTGTCTCCAAGGAGGAAACAGGACAGTTCTGTCCTGACATGATTGTGGGATGGGAGCAGTGTAGGAACCTGGGGAAAAGYACACCCCGGCCTTACCCAGCCCCAAGTGGATTCCTGGGCTTGCATATATTTAAAAGTTATTTTTGTGAGGGCTGCCTGTTAACTGTTCCATTCAGGGCTTTGTGCTAGAAGGCAGCTGGGAGTGATCGGGGCTGGAAAAYGCAGMATTRTTTACAGGAATTTCAGTGGAACAGYRTGCGGGTTGTACRGCACGGAGGTCGCACATAGACGGGGTTTGAAAATCATTCCCGAGCTCGGGGTTGGTTTTATCCTCAGTCCCTGAGCAGCTACAGTGAAACCACTCAAAACAGAGCACGAGGAGGGTACACATTGTCAAAAACACAGAGAAAAAGTGGGTTTTGGGATAGACCGAGGTGCAGCCAGGCTGTGGCAAGGCAGAAGGTGAAAGCCAAGGTGCAGTTCTATCGATCTGTGCAAGATAAGCCCAAGAGAACAAACAAAGCAAGGTCAGTTATGGTGCCTGAGATCAGCTCGGGGCATGGTCCAGAGGGTGGGAAAAACCAAGGTTTTACTTCCAGCCTTTTTGTGTGTAAACAGGAGGAAGGTACTGCTACAAAAATATTCAAGGCAAGGGACCGGGCCAGAAACGCAACTCTCAATCCTGGGGCGGCAGCCAAGTGACCGAACTTAAAATACCTCAATGAGGCCGGAATGCAATCTTAAACAAAATCCGAGATTATTTTCCAAAATCAGAGTCACGGGTTCGCAGGGGTTTTTCTGCTTTATATTTAGACACAGGGGTGGGAGCTGTGCCACCGCCGGTGMCAGGAGGCAGAGGAAGGGGACGGGCAGGTGGCAGAACCTGTTGGTGCGGGGCAATGCGGGCTCCGTGCCGCTCCCGGAGCTCCTCCCGTGCCCCCCACCCGGGCCAAGGGCCGCACTCACCGGGCTCATACTTGAGGTAGAGGACGGAGATGATGAAATAGGCSGTGTCGAACAGCGGGAACACGGGCAGCGCGGCGAAAGCGGCCGCCAGCTCCCCGAGGGGCAGCGCCTCCGCCAGATCCATGGCGGCCCCGGATCCCGGCTCTCAGCTCCCGCTTCTCGATTCCCRGCTCCCGCCCCGGCTCCGCAGGCCCGTCCCGGAGCTGCGGGAGCTGCGGCCGGCGCTGCCCGGGCCGGGGCCGCTCGCTGCCCGCGGTGTCCGGGCGCGGAGCCGCCGCCGGTGCCGGAGCAGCCCCGGGGAGCGCAGGCGCCGCCGCTGCGGGCAGCGCCCGCCCCTTCCGCTTCCCCTBGGCCCGCGGAGCCGCCGCCGGAGCCATGATCGGGGACCTGCTGCTCTGCGGGTACCGGGGCTGGGGACCGGGGGCGGCTAGGCCGGGTCAGCTTGGCCCGGCTGTGCCTGACCCTGTTCTTGTCCCCCTTCTCGTCCCCTTYCCYGTCCCTCTTACTGTCTCCCCTGTCMCGAYCCCYTTCCCCCGTCCATCTCCCTTCCCCCTCTCCGACCCGCTTTCCTATCCGTCCACCCTCCCCTTCCCCATTTCTTTCCCCGTCTATGTCCCCTTCACCGTCTCTGACCCCTTCCCCAACCCCTTTCTCCATCCCTAACCCCCTACCCCGTCCTCACTCCCTTTCCCCTCCCCCTTTCCTCGTTCCCGTCCCTTTTCCCCGTCCCCCTCTCCATCCCCGGCCTCCTCCCCATCCCCGTTTCCCCGTCTCTCCCGCAGGACGCTGCTGGTGAACGCCGGTGCCGTGCTCAACTTCAGGCTGTGAGCGAACGGGGAGGGAGAGAGGGAGGGCGGGGGACGGGGAGGTGTTTTTTTTTTTGTTTGGTTTTTTTTTGTTTGTTTGTTTGTTTGTTTTTGTTTTGTGTTTTTTTTTGTTTTTGTTTTTGTTTTTTTTGTGTTTCATCTGCCTGACACGACCCCTCTGCCCGCAGGAGGAGGAGGGACACGGAAGGATTCGGAGAGGAGCCGAGGGAACCCACGACCGGTAACGGAGGGGACAGGGGAGCCGGGCACAGSCCTGCCTTGGGCCGCCTGGACATGCACAGGAACGGGCTTTTCTGCAGGAAATCCAAAACAGTTTTCCACCCCTTTTTGTYGGATGTGAACCAGTCTGGGGCTGGAATAACTGGTTTATTTGTAAACTGAAATGTTCYGAACATCTTCGTTTTCAAACTCAAATGAGAAGAAATGCACAAACACACACACACAAAAAGCACATTGCTTTCAATATTTTTGATTGTAGCTACCTCTGCTGCAGAGGTAATGCTCTGCTCACTCCCTGACTGCCATTTCCACGTGGATATACCAGTGTTGCTTCCTTTGCTGGTTAAAAATCACAGGAAGCCTTTGAACTACAGCTGGTCTTCCTTTTTTTTTTTTTGTAGTGTGACCCCTTTTTATGGTTTATTGGTTATTTTGCCATGTGTCCTTACAGGGTTGCACTGAACAGAGCATTCACTGTTCACCCACACAACGTCAAATTTCAGTCTGAACTTTTCATTGTGGTTTTTTGATGTGGTTTTCTTTTTCCTGTCGRAGTTGCTTCTGTTTTTCAGGCAGCGTTGAAAATGTGACTTGTTGGGTGTGTTTTTCATATTGAAGGCTTCTCCTCTTGATTTGTAGGTGACAATATCAGAGAGTTCTTGCTGAGCCTCAGGTATTTTCGAATCTTCATTGCCTTATGGAATGTCTTCATGATGTTCTGCATGATTGTGTAAGTAACCCTGAGAAAGTCATATATTGGCATTTTTCTTGCACATGCATCACTTTTCACATCTCTTTCTCTCCCACTYTTTTTTTYMWWAWTSKTTTTTCACTTCTTTATTTCAATTTTCAAATACAGTTTGATGTCATGGGTTTTTTCTAATGTGGGCACCTGTAGTGCATGAAAACCACCTGTGCCAGCACCTGAATCATTCAGCCTCAGGCAGAGCCGTGCTTGGTGGGGGTTGCTCAAATCAAACATCACCCGGGTTTAAATCTTGAGACATTTTTCATTTTGGAAGGGTGGAAACCCACTTAAATAATCAGATTAGATCAGCCYTGCACTGGTGTGACTGTGACTATTTCTCACCTGCTGTTTTTCTGTTGTATCCCTCAGGTTATTTGGATCTTGAAATCTACTCATGGACACCTTGGAGGAGACTTTTGGCTGGGAACAAAACTTTTCTAGAAGTAAAAGATTCTGATGCTTTCCAACTGCAGCCCCAGGCTCATGGAGGGTCAGGACACGCTYGTCCCCTCCAGATTCCTTCTCTGCCAGGGCTTTGGGCCACAACTTTCACACAAATTATCTCAACTTCACTGAAAGAGAACTTTAACYTGGTTTTCTAAGCTCAAAGTGAGGGGAACAGGGGAGAATTGGAGCTGCAATCCTGAATTTTAAACCTCTGCATTGCCAGGGCCAGCTCTGGCTGTGCCAGCTCGTGTCACCYCTGTCCAGGTCACCTGCAAGCCACACTCCTCAGTTCTCAGTTTTGTATAAAAGTTGAGCAGAGTGTTCTTGTAACGTCTCACTATTCCATTTGTTTTGTTGRAGRAGTARAAAARWAAAAAAAAAAAAAGCCATTTTCACCTTCTCCCTGTTTTTCCAGAAGAAAAAGCTTTTTAAATTAATATTTCAAAGAGGTGGTTTTTTTTTTTGTTTTTTTTTTCTCTAAGCAATATGTAAGGGATTTTGAATGGGGAGAAATGGCAAAAATATTTCTCTAAGCCAATGTTAAGGGATTATTTGGGAATAATCTTGGATTTGGTTGAATAAAGTTGTTCTGTTTAAGGGTAAAATACATATTTGATGCCATGTTCATTCTGTTGCAGGAGAAATTGATTCTGTATGGGTATCTTTTGGGAAATTGTAAATAATCTTGCAATCTTGTGTTATTTATATTAAGTTGGCCTCCCTGACCAACAGTTTTTGCCCAGAATCACCAAGRTGATTTAAGAGAGTGCTGAGTATCTTTTAAATCAAACTGTAAACTGTTAGGGGGGCTTCTTTAGCTGTTGAGGAAAAAGAGGCCTCATTTAAATGATTCCAAGATCCAGATTTAGGGAATRTTTTGAATTTTATCTGGTAGTGAGGTGCAAGTGTTGGGCAGCATTTGACTTGAGTCACCCTCTTGCTTGAACTGAAGTTTTCACATTAATGAAACATGACAGGGGAAGGGTCATTTGAGGGAGGATGCCTGGCTGTAATGAACCTAGAAAAATGTACAGGCAGGCTGTTTCAAATGTGGCTTGAGCTGTCCAGAAATAATGTGCAATCTTTGGTTAAATTTAAACATAACTGTCTGTAATTTATGTTTTAACCCTTTTCTGATTCTTTAGAATTAAAAAAAAAAAGTGTGCTGTCTTGTCAGGGCATAAAACACAACACAGCGATTGAACCAGTTCAGTTCTTGGAAAACATTTTGTGCCTAATCTTCATTAAATTGAGTGTGAAGAGAAGGGTGGATGTGGCATCTTTGGGCTCAGTGGGTTTGATTATTCCTCGGAAAAATTATGACCCTGTGCAGAGCCGACAGCACTTTCTCAGGGAACAGAGGAGGAGGAAKCTCCACTGCTGAAGGGAATTCAAACAGTTTTATCACCCTGCACAGACCGTGTGGCTCCGTTCTGTCCTCACAAGACTCCAGTTGTGCAAACGAATAAAAGTTGTGATTCAGCTTCGAAGCAGCTGCTTTAAAATGATGAGATCACAAGTTAATTTTGGGCTGCTTTGAAATTCTTTGAGACGTTTAAATGCCGGGCTGACCTCGCTCAGGGGTCCRGGCCACCCCTCACACCTACACGGCCCGAGTCCCTTTCCTGGCGCCCACAGCGGGTTTATTCCCGTTATTTATCCACATTATTTATTTCTCTCCGCGCACGGCGCTCGGTTCCTCCAGGCCCCGGGGCCGGGCAGGGGGGTCCCCATAGGAACGGGGGGGGTCCCCATAGGAACGGGTGGGTCCGGGGCGGCCGCTGCCCCAACTGCCCCCTCACGGGCAGCATCGCCCCGCTCCCCGTGTCCCCCTCACGGCGACCCCTTCTCCTCCAATTCCCCCAGCATGGCCGCTCTCCCTCTGATTCCCCCGTTCTCCCCGTTCCCCGCGGAGCTCCCGGTGTCCCCCGGAGGTCCCGGT